CAAGAGCACCACCAGAGGCACCACCAGAGGCACCACCAAGGGTACCACCAAGGGCACCACCAAGGGCACCACCAAGGGCACCACCAACGGCACCACCAAGGGCACTACTAAGAGTGCCACTACCAAGAAAAAAAAACTACCTAGCATGTACAAATTAGCCATCTTAGATGAAGAAGTGGACTTGCGACGCTTGCCGACGGCATATAGTACATCGTACCCCCCGCATTCTGAATTATGTGATTTCTGTAAACTTCCATTTGTTAATGATAATGGTGTTGTATTTGTTTGTGGTCATGGTTACCATGTGGTTTGTTATAGCAGAAGGTGCAGTTTTTGTGAAGAATTTTATAAGAAAGGAATTATCAAAAATATCAATTCATTTTTACACCGAATTGAGAAAGGAGCGAATTCACTTACACCAGATGATCTTGATAGCAACGAAAATGATGAGGATATTGAAGAGAACTTTGAAGTAAGAGAAATGCTTGACGTTCCGTCTACACTGGCAATACAAATAGAACAAGTAAAATATTGGTGAATATGTCATTAGAAATTATAAACTAATAAATGTTCATTTTGAAATATTTCTTTTAAATCTATGCTAAAAAAAAATTTTTAAAAAAATCATTCAATTTTACTAAACGTATACATCTTGGAGCAGTAGCAAAAAAAAAAAGCATACATTTGGGGAGTGTGTATTTAGAGTGCAAGTATGTAGAGCTACTGAACCGCAACCAGGTTATACTGTGCATTCAGAGAAGTTATATGGTGCGTGCATTTGTAGTGTGGTCTGACTGTATAATTATAAGCATATATTAAACGTTTATTATAAAAATATGCGTCTTATAAAAGTCTCGAACAATAGAGATCATTCGAGATGTACCTTTACAATTTAAATTAAAGCCAACTAATAGACTAACTGACGAAGTTTGGCAAAAAACTAACGTTTCATTGGATGTGTTACTATATGACCTTCGTACATACTATAATCTCTTCTATACAAAATCTTGTGTAACGCTCATGCATAAATAGAACCTCTGTCATGCTGCTCTCACCCCTGTCTATTTAAAAGAAATTGCTGCTGAATGGTTCTGATGTCTTGATCCTGCTCCTAATATTTTTAACGATAGCACTGCCCAAGCCCAAAGTTTTTATCATCTTTTTAAGACCCAGTTTAGCTTCACTAAACAAAAGATTAAATAGCAAAAACAACACTTCGAAATCAAACAAGGAACAGACATTGTAGATGCCTATATCACTCATTTTAAAAAACTACAAGCCAGAGTAGATCCTGCTAATAGTTTTCCTGATGACTTTATCTTCCAACTCTTCATCCAAGACTCAGACCTGAGTATGCTATTGGAGTTCAAGCTGGAGCCCCTGCTGACTTAGCCGCTACTATTACTGCCACTTGAAATTGAGAAAATGGCAAACTCATCTCTGCCCCTACAACAGATATAGACCAAATAATCAAACAACTAACTGAACAGATTGCTCAATTTAGCATCAATCTCGCCCAACAAAAGCCTGCCCTAAATGCTATACACTATGCCAAAAGCCCTACTACTGCATCAAGAATCAGACAACCACCTACCTGGCATTATTGTGGACGTATTGGACACTTTATCGCCCAGTGTCGTATTAAACAAAGGAATCAGGAATGACTATGAGACAGAAGCCGAGATCATTATAATAATAACCACAGCTACAACCAATCTAGAAGCTGAAACAGAAACTATTCTAAATCCTACGATAGAAGTAGATCACGAGATCAGAATAAATCTAGAAGTCAAGACAACTACTCTTGAAATCAAGGTTACTCTCGAAAATAAGATAGCTACTACTCCTATGCTGATAACTATAAGAGATCCTCAAATTGCTCACCTTCTTCTTACTATCGTGATGTTAACTACCTTGCCCAAAACCCTAAATCTTCTTCTCCTATGAGCCAACAGAAATAGAAAACACTCTTAGACAACCTTTTTATTCAAAGTGCTCTCTCTGCTTACCTAAGCCAAGAAGCTAAAACCATGGCTATTACTCCTGAACCAACCACCACACCTGTTAAATGCAACATTAAAATTAGAAACAGACCTTACCAAGCTATTGTAGATAGTAGAGCATCCATTAGTATGATTGCTCATAAAGTAGTTCAAGAACTAGGACTCAAAATTAAACAAGCCTCAACCAGCCTCATCATCTCTGCTACCAGAACTTCCTCTCGACCTTTAGGAATTATCTGAGACTTCTCTATCCAAATCGAAGAAGCTACTATCCCTATTACTATTGAAGTAGTCGCTGCTACTATCTCTATTACTATTGAAGTAGTCGCTGCTACTTCCTACTCTCTACTTCTTGGAAATGACTGGTCCAAGAAAGTTGAAGTCAGCTATAATTAGAAAAATAGCTACTACTCCTTTAAGTAGAAAAACCACAAGTACTACACCTCTACTACTTATGAAAATAACTAACCTCTTCCTGCTCAATCTACTATTACTGATCCAGACGAATTAGAGCTCTATGAACAGGAAACTTGACTTCCAAAGAAGCTTATGTATTTGAAACCACTAATATAGATACAGACAACCCTAACAACTGACTACTTACCAACCTCATCATCACCATACTCGAAACCTCCTCGAGTTTGTGGAAATTGCAATTTACCTGCTCACCTTTTGCCGAATATCCTACCAACCATTATAACCATTGCCAAAAAATTGAACATATCGCAGTTCATTGCCCTATGCAAGCCCCACGATATACCTCTTGTCGAACTTGTGGACAAAACCACTTGTACAGAGACTGCCTTAACAACTTTTGTCATGAATACAATGAACAAGGACATATTGCTATCGATTGTCTTTATGCTTTTTTATGCAAACAGAATCAGATATACCAATGTGGCTGTGATTCTAATAAAGTAGCTGCCCAAAGAGTCTACTATCATAGTACCAGACGCACTCACTACTGCTGCTAATGCAAGAATCTAAAAAGGACCAAATGACTTAGACTCCTCGATAACCAACTTGTATGCTGAGCCTGTTATATAGATTTCCACCATGACTTGGATTATAATGACCCCAGAAGTATCTATTTTTATACCCAAGGTAAAGGACAAGAGACCCTAGTTATCTGTAAAATCTGCCAATACTCGGATACTAGATCCAGAATGCATAATATTGAAAGCATAACTAAAGCTCTATAGTTTTGCAACCTTAAACATATGTATGCATACAAGGCTAGCCAGAATATCCTCTACAATCCTAACTATAACCTCTGGACTTGGATTCAATACTATACTACTTTTACCAGAAGTGCAGGATCCCAATATGAAATGAATCAGATATGTATCTTCTAACTTGCAAAGATCTTGTTACAAGAAAACAACCAGGATATTGCTGAAGCTTTAGAACCTCTTATAACTGACCACATCAATCAGGCCTAGAATAATGAGAAAATAGGTCTTGTTCTCCATGCTGAACTAAACCTGCTAATTGAGGATGAAACTCTACAACTCCAACAGACTCTCGACCAATCCTTCGATACTAGCCATTCAGACTTTTGTAAAGAATTAGCCTTTGCTAACCTCTGACGAAGTTTTACTGACCCTGTGAACCTTTGTAAAGAATGCTTTCATGTCAAACACCAAGATAAACTTGATCAATATGATGGATATTGTACCAAATATGCTACTACACCTCCTTTAATATTTAACCCAGAAGCAACTTTAGAAGAACCAGACCCATCAGTTTCAAATTCAAAATTAGATGCTATATCTGATGAAGCTAATGACCTGTTACCAGAAATCTGACCTGCTACTCCTCTAGTAGAAATAAATTCTAGTCCTCCAATTACTTCTTCAGAACCAGATATTTCTTTATCTGTGATGCTACAGCTACAACAACAAGTAGCTCACC